CCTCTGTGTCTCTTCTCTCTCGAAGGACACCACTCAGGTTGGATTACGACCCACTCTACTCCAGCATGATCCCCTGTAAACTTGACTGATAACGCCTGCATAAGACCCTATTTCCACAAGGTCACATTCACAGGTACCAGGTGTTAGAACTTCAATATATCTTTGGGGGGTACACAATTCAGTCTATAATACCAACCCAAACCCAGCAGGGCATGAGATCCTGATTTCTACTGGGAAATGTGGCTCTGCCACTATTGGATTTGTCCGCATTTGGTTGGTGATATTGATAATGGACATAGCCCCAGAATCTTAGTGGCCCCCTAGTCTATCTCCTTTTCTTACCCGTCTTGCAGTTGTGATGGCCTCAGAGAACAGAAACTTAGTTCTGGCATCGTCTGTGGTCCTCCTTATTTGGCTGTTTCAGGTTCAACCTGTAAGCCTCAGCTATATTTGTTACATGTTAGACTCTTCCTGACTATGGTGCCTAAAGCCAGGATGGTTCTATTTATTCAAGTGTTTACGGATTCAGCAAACGTTTACCAGGCTGAGCACTGAGTTCCTGAGGGTAAGAGTGTGGTTTCCAGAGCCAGATGTTTTAGGTGTGAATTCTGGTTCTACACTTTGTAACTGTGTGGTTGTGGACTAGCGCTTTTACTTCTCCCCACCATAAAGGTTTGTTATGAATGTGAGACAACAAAAATATTCTAGAATAGTGCCTGACAATAAATGCAAAGCTTGTTAGCTATTATAAAGAAAACACATAAGACATGGTCCCCTCCAATGGCCCTCCTTGTCCCACTCTTTGGTCTCCTAGTTTGCATGCCTTTTGATTTTATTTTTCAGGTAATTTGATTGTGCAGTGATTAAAGTTCTCAGCTGCGAACAAAAAGGTCAGTGGTTCCAACGAATTGGCCACTCAAAGAGAGAAAGATGTGGTGGTCTGCTTCCACAAAGATTTGCAGCCTTGGAAACCCTAACGGGCAGTTTTACTCTGTTCTATAGTGTCGCTTTGAGTTGGCATTGACTCAATGGCAGTAGGTTTGGGTTTTTGCTTTTTTTCACAGTTCGGATCACAACCCTCTCTTCCTCAAGATCCTGCAATGGCTCGCTGCTGCAATAAGTCAGAGTTAGGAACCTACTGTAGACTATTTTATTTTTTGGTAAGAACAAGCCACAATAAACATTCATGCTATGCAGGCATAGAAGTATGGGAGCTCATCCAATAAAAGCTCCCACCTTCTTGTTCTAACCCACCAGCCACTCTGAAGCAGAAACATGTGGCAGTTGCCTCCATAAATATTGTTGTTGTTAGGTGTCAATGAGTTGGTTCCGACTCATAGTGACCCTATGTACAACATAACAAAACACTGCCCTGTCCTGTGACATCTTCACAATCGTTGTTATGCTTAAGCCCATTGCTGCAGCCACTGTGTTAGTCCATCTCGTTGAGGGTCTTCCTCTTTTTCCCTGACCCTCTGCTTTACCAAGCATGATGTCTTTCTCCAAGGATTGACTCCTCCTGATAACATCTCCAAAGTATGTGAGACGAAGTCTCACCATTCTTGCTTCTAAGGAGCATTCTGGTTCTTTTTTTCAGATATTTGTTCTTTTGGCAGTCCATGGTATATTTAATATTCTTCACCAACACCACAATTCAGAGGCCTCAATTCTTCTTCGGTCATCCTTATTCATTGTCCAGCTTGTGCATGCATATGAGACGATTAAAAACACCATGGCTTGGGTCAGGCCCACCTTAGTCTTCAAGGTGACATCTTTGTTTTTCAATGTTTTAAAGAGGTCTTTTGCAGCAAATTTGTCCAATGCAATGAGTCTTTTGATTCTTGACTGCTGCTTTCATGAGTGTTGATTGTGGATTCAGGTAGAATGAAATCCTTGACAATATCAATCTTTTCTCCATTTATCATGATGATGCTTATTGGTCCAGTTGTGAGGATTTTTGTTTTCTTTATGTTGAGGTGTAACCCATACTAAAGGCTGCGGTCTTTGATCTTCATCAGTAAGTGTTTCTAGTCCTCTTCACTTTCAGCAAGCAAGGTTGTGTCATCTGCATAACACAGGTTGTTAATGAGTCTTCTTCCAATCCTGATGCCCCATTCTTCTTCATATAGTCCAGCTTCTTGGAGTATTTGTTCAGAATACAGATTGAACATGTATGGTGAAAGGATACAACCCTGATGCACAACTTTCCTGACTTTAAACCACACAGTAACCCCTTGTTCTGTCTCAATTACTGCCTCTTGATCTATGTACAACAGGTTCCTCATGAGCACATTAAGTGTTCTGGAATTCCCAATTTGTGCAATGTTATCCATAATTTGCTATGACCCACACAGTCCAATGCCTTTGCATAGTCAATAAAACACGGGTAAACGTCTTTCTGGTATTCACTGCTTTCAGCCAGGATCCAACTGACATCAGCAATGATATCCCTGGTTCCACATCCTCTTCTGAATCTGGCTTGAATTTCTGGCAGTTCCCTGTTGATATACTGCTGCAGCTGCTTTTGAAAGATCTTCAGCAAAATTTTACTTGCATGTGATATTAAATGATATTGTTCGATAATTTCCACATTCAGTTGGCTCACCTTTCTTGGGAATAGGCATAAATATGGATATCTTCCAGTTGGTTGGCCAGGTAGCTGTCTTCCAAATTTCTTGATATAAATGAGTGAGCACTTCAGTGCTGCATCCATTTGTTGAAACATCTCAATCGGTATTCCGTCAATTCCTGGAGCTTTGTTTTTCACCAGTGCCTTCAATGCAGCTTGGACTTCTTCCTTCAGCACCATCAGTTCCCGATCATATGCTACCTCCTGAAATGGCTGAAAGTAGACCAAATCTTTTTGGTATAATGACTCTGTGTATTCCTTCCATCTTCTTTTGATGCTTCCTGTGTCATTTAATATTACAGCTTTGGAAACACTATGGGTAGTTCTACTCCACGCTACAGGGTTGCTATGGGTCAGAATTGACTCAATGGCAACAGGGGGAAAAAATGGCTGGCAAGGAAGCTGGCCTAGACCAAGGACCTTCTGCTCCAAGCTGGCAGACCTGAGCCTTTTCCTCTTGCTCTGTGGAGTAGAACCATAGAGTTCTGGAAGAAAGGACCCTAGAGAGGGTCTAATTGATGAAGAAACTGAGACTCAGATGGTGACTTGATTAAACCATATTTTTAAAAAGTAGAACATGATTTAAGAGTTATTGCCAAATGAGAATCTCCTGAGGGTGGTTATTTATTTATTTGTTTGTCTATTTATCAATTGGTCGGTTGATTTATTGGTGGGAGCCTGTGTTTATTATTTATCAATGTAAACATTTTGTTTCTTAGGTTTGCTTGTGTGCAGAATGATGGACAATGAGCTGTAAGGGCTTCAGATTCTTAGCAGTCATTCAGCAGAGGAGTCATAAGGGTCAGTCACTAAGTTTACTGCCCTGCGTGAAGAAGAATGCTTTGGACACTCACCCCCACCATGCAGGTGGGACAATAAATTGGAACAGCTCTTCTGAAGGCAGTTTGGCTATGTATATCAGAACAACCTATGAAATGGGAACAGCTCTGACCTCAAATTCCTTCTAAGGAGTTTGTCCTAAGGGAATGGCCAAAAATACCTTTAGAGCATATTACTTCATTAGGGTATTGTTTACTATTGTTGTTGTTGTTAGGTGCAATCAAGTCAGTTCTGACTCAAAGAGACCCTATGTACAACAGAAGGAAACATTGCCTGGTCCTGAGCCATCCTCACACTTGTTGCGATGTTTGAGCCCACAGTTGCAGCCACTGTGTCAATCCATCTTAGTGAGGGTCTTCTTCTTTTTCGCTGACCCTCACCTTTACCAAACATGATGTCCTTCTCCAGGGTCTGATCTGTCCTGATAACATGTCCAAAGTTAGTGAGATGAAGTCTCGCCATCCTTGCTTCTAAGGAGCATCCTTATACTACTTTAGGCAACTAAATGTCCTCACCAGATTCCACGCTAGTCTGAGGGCTGTCGCTAAAGCTTAGCTTACATAAAACAGGACCTTATGAAGCAGCCAATCTGGGTTTTAAAAATTGTTTTGTTTTGTTTCGTTTTTTAATTATCTGCACAACACACAGAGCCCTGGGTGGCACAAATGATTTGCACTTGACTTTTAACCTAAAGGTTGGTGATTTGAACCCACTGAGTGGTGCTGAGTCTTACCCCATCTCCAATCTTCACCGCTTCACTGACTCCCCACCCATCTTTAGTCACGTCCCTGAGGCTTACAATAGCCCTTACTCCCACCTTCTCCCTTATCTCACCCTCAGTGGGGTGAGAATTTGGTAAAGAAAGAACTAGTTATAACGGATGAGGTGAGGAGTGCAATTGTGTTTGTACATGGATATTTTTTGATAACTTTTTTAAAACTGAAATTTAATAGTTTGTGTATAGGTCAAGTCAAAATATTCTAATGTCAGATCACCTGACTCAAGATGTCATGCGACACAAGAAACAGGAAAAAGTCATTGCTGTGCCTGAAGGATGAGATGGGAGGGAGTCTAACTTCTCACTATATGTGATTTATACCTTTCTCATTTTGTATGGTGTGCATAATTGCCTTTTCACCATAACATAATTGAGTTTTCTTTAAGATCCTGTATGGCCTAACAGACCACTTGTACTGAAAGCATCTGGGGTCCTAAAGAATACTGCACTCAATTATAGGAAGGCACAAGGTTAAAATCCCCATTAATTCCAATGTTCTTGGGCTGCAGCTTTATAAGAAATAGAAATTTGAAGGCTCTGTTAGAAGTGCTGTCTCTTTCAGCATTGAAGGTGGAGTCTACAATTGGCTGTGAACTTGTAAATAACAACTGAACACAAGGATATATATTCAATATCAGTCCTCCACAGGAGGCTGGGAAATTGTCCAAATAAGTATTAGAGAAGCAAAGACACATTTAGAAATGCACGCTCATGCTTCCTGATTGAGGATAAGCATTGCAGTCCTGCAACTCAAGACACACAGCCAGCAATCTTGTGATAGCAGAGTTTATTGGCTTATTTGTTTTTCAGAAACTCAACCAGCAAAACTACAACATGCTGCAAATTTGTTTCATTTGCTCTCTTCAGTCAACTGCAGGTGAGCTATGAGAGTGTTACTCTTTTATAGACTATCAATAGTTTTTCTATCAAAAGTTATTTTAATTCATCATTGATGCTTTTTTAAAAAAAAAAAAAGAAAAAAGCCACTGTCTAGCCACCACCCTGTTGATGGCAGAGGAAAAAAGGGAAAACATCTGGGGAAATGTGAGACATGAAGTCTGTGAATACAACCATTGCTTTTGTTTTAACGTGGTTCACTAAAAGATCTCTCCTGATGCAAGGCAACTAAGCAATGTCTCCATGACCCACCTGTGTCCTGGGAGCACTGACAGAGAAACTCCCTGTACACACCTCTGCTTTTTGTCCTGAAGCTAGATGTTAGGTCTATTTGCCATAAGAATTAAGCTTTCAGGCTCTGGATTCAGACTTTAATGCTCCACTTGCTACTAATTAATACCTTGGCCAATTTTCTTAACTTTTCTGCCTAACTTTCCTCATCTGTATAATAAGGATAACAGTTACACCTCTCTCATGAGGTGGTTATGTGGAGTAGAAAAGATAATGAATGTAAAGACCTTAGCAATGGGTGAATGCTCAATAAATACAACCATTGCGATTGCATCGTGAAAGAGCAGCCTCACTTGTTGCTATCTGGGACCTTCTCTATCCAGGTACCTTCTGTGTCTCCATTGCTTCATTAATGATCCATGAGTGGACAGCAAGTTTCTGTTGATCCCCACATCCCCCACATTTCTTTACCTCATTCTGCCTCAGGGCTTTGCCATGTTGGTATCTGGCAATTGATGTATGAACAACCTGGTTCTTTCTACTCCCTCCTTTTCTGCTCTGCTACAATGACACTGCTCTTATGCACAGGCAGAATAGT